ACTTTGCCCTCTACTGTGATGTGATGTGGAACGTGGACACTCAACATCATTGGTAGGCCAATCGCAGTGACAGTCTGTAATTAAGTTCAAGACGCTAGAATGGACTGGCTCTGCAATCGCGTTGTTCGTCATGTTCTGCTCAACGTCTTGAGAGACGTCTGGTTTCTGCCTAGGTAGTATGAGGCGCAAGATGTCAACAGGGGCCCATGTCGATGATCCATCGTCCTCTTTTTGACGTATTTGATTAGGCATCACGCCCAGGGGGGTTTCCTTCTCGGACAGTGTGGCCGGCCTCGCTCGGCCAATGCTACTTCTTCCATCTGACGGCGGGGCGACAGTAGAATATCCTTGTGTCGGGGACAAAGATGTAGCGTGGCGGTCCAGTAAAGGGGACGGGTTGGACGATTTGACTGTCGACTGATGTGCGGCTTGTTCTTCGTCCTGTTTTGTTTGGAGGGGTTTTGTGAGTACAACGTATCGCCCTTCAAGTCACGTAGCGTTAGTGGGACATGTCGAGGAAGCCCGATAAACTTGGAGTCTAGACTCGTTTGCATGGCGTGGACGTAGCAGCCGTGGACGGCTCCTGGTGAGTCTCGTGGTTCTCCCCATAATACTTCCTTGGACGTGCCTCGACTCGGCGCGTCGTGAGCCGGTAGCGTGGGAAGACGCGAGTCCCAAGATGTAATGTTGTGCGCATGATTTCCGCATATTCTTATTTGGCTATATTTGTGAGTTTCAGACGTAGATGACAGGGTTTCAACGGTTAAAGAAAAAGCAGAAATAAACCGGGCGACACTTCTTTGTCAAAAGGCTAGATTTTAGAAATTCAAAATTTGAAAAGACACGTTCTTCCGATTTTCCAAGTGACGGAACGTTGGTTCCTTTTTTTATTTTAAAACGCTTGGCTTGGTGAGATGTTCATCATGCGACGTTGAAACAGGTTTTTGTCTCTCTACGAAGATGAGTATCAGGACATGTAACAGAACGTGGCTCTAAGTATTCGAGGTCACTGTAGCTTCTTTATAATTTGAATAATAGCACAAGCATGATGCTAATCGGTTAGTTGTTGAGAGGAGCCGAGCCTGGGGTCACGTCACGCATGTTTGGCAAATGTGTCCGAACAAGATACCGTCTTGGCCACAGAGCGTCATGTAAATATGCGAATTCCATCCCGCAGCGCTGCATACAGCTCAGGACTCGGTACGGTCCCTTCAGATGTGGTCAAAAGTCTTCTCATGTTGGTTGCAATGTGGCGAGCCCATGGCTGCCGTATATGGTACATAGGTATTATACAACATCCGTGCTCTTGAACGCCTCGTCCCGTGTATAATTGTATGGTTTTACATCCCTCGCCACTTCGTGGTCGGCCTCCCGATCGTGAAGCACGCAGCCGGTCCCAGCTCCGGTGCCACGCTGCCTGACTTGGCCTTCCTGGGCATCACGTCCCCGCCGCCATCTTTGGAGCTCGATAGCACGTCGCACTTGACGCATTGGGTATCGGGCATCGTCTCCCTTTTTTCATTCTCTTCCCTTGATTTCGGTATCTAATCCCCTGGCTGCTTACTTGCCCTTGGAGTGGGGCACCATCTTGTCGTACATGCGACCGAGGTGGTAGTTGATGGTGGACGAGGGCTGCTTGGGCTGCTTGGGCTGATCCATGCAGTTGCGCAGGGCGTTCTCGAGGGTTGCGCAGCCGGCGGTGTTGTAGCCTGCGGAGGCCCAGCATGCTGGATGGGATGTCAATAAATGGTTCAAGGGGTTCGCCATGCCGCAAGCTTGCATTGTACAATGCGAGAGGCTTTTGGCGAAGACGTGAGGAGTGGTACATACCGAGAACGGAGGTCATGACCTGCACACACGGGTTGGCCTCCTTCTTGTTGGGCTGGCGGACGCGGAGGACCTTGACGGGCGGCAGGCGCATCGGTTTTGAAGGCATGATGGGCAATATCTTTTCTGGGGTTTCCGTCCAATATTCTAACGTGAAAGTGCCGAAACTATGCGATCATCGGGGGATCGTCGGGTCGTCGTTGTCGTCAAGTCTCGCTGTCGGGGAATCCAATCGTCGTCGTCGACGGCCTACAATTTCAAAAAGCTCCAGATTCCGACCATCGAAGCATCGCATCGCGAAAGCTTTGATGCGGTTCCGAGCAACTTTTTCTCGCCCGCCAATCACGTGCCGTCAGCCTCGCGCAGGGGCGCTGCGTTGTTTGATTGGCCTGCAGCGTGTAGTGGCATTCGCATGGTGGGGTAAGACACGGTACATTGTACCGAGGGGGAAGACTGCGCGCGCCTGGGATCAGAGCTGTTTAGCCAGTCCTTGGGGCGAGATGCGACCTGCGAGCGGCGCTAGCGTGGAGGATACGGGAGCTGCCGATTGGCTGGCGGGCGTCGAATGTAAACAAAAGCGTGGTTTTGTGGTTGCCCGTTGCGCCCGGGACCAACACCAGCCCACCACACCAAATTTCTCTTTCCTGTCCTGCCCTCGCGTTCCTCTTCCGGCCTTTCTCGATTTAGCAACCCAATCCAAGCAAGTACCTTGAAACCCTTCTTCCCACTCAAGCTTCTTCTCCGAGTTCCCGACCACGCCAATCTCCGCGTTCGCGACATAATCACGTAGCACGCCGACGTTTTGGTGGTCTGTCATCGCATCAATCAAGGCACTTCGAGGCTTTTTTTGCGATCCGCGACGGTTGCAGAAGCATTCCAGTCGCCTGCTCGTTAGCTCGCATCGGTGCAGCTCCGCCTCGCCCTTGTCCGCGTGCGGTTTGCGCGCTTTGTTTACTTTTCCGCACTTTTTTTCCTGCCCCAATCGCCCGCATCGCGCCTGGCCCTTCGCGATCACGTCCGAGAGCGTCTCCGTGCCGCGTCGCATCAGACACCATAGCTCCCGCGCTACTCAATCCCACGCGCCAACTTCGTCATCCGACCAATGTTGCGCCCCTACACGCGATGAACATCCCAAGATTGACCTTTAACCCGCCTTCGGGCAACGCCATCACTCCCCGAACTTGCGCACAGCCGACCGCGCCAGCCCTAACATGGCCTTGGCTGGCTTCTCCGCGCTTGGAGTCGCGCCTCAGCCCAACGGCGACATGGCCTCGAGCCTGTCATCCCTTTCTTTCGACTTCACCACGCCAACCAAGGCTGGTGCCTCGCCCAAGTCAAAATCCACCACCAAGAAGCAGGCTCCCAAGTTCGCCTCGCTATCTCTTGCCTCGCCCTCCAAGAAGTACAGCACGGCAGAGACGCCGAGGCCGAAAGGCATTTCGACCGACTTGAAGATAGTGCCGCTGGCCCCGTCGACCGCCAGAACGCCCTCGCCCAAGAAGGTCTCCTTCGCCGACGAAAGCTTCACCCCTTTAAGCGCCTCCACCCCCAAGCACTGGAGTGCGTCTACGCCAAAGCTTGCGCGCGGTCTTTCACCAAAGTCTAGCCCCTCCAAGCCGGCAGTCTCCGACTTTTCTGTCATGTCAATCACCTCACCGACAACACCCCAAGTTTATCACGATCAATCCGACTCGAACCAGGGTCAGCTCGAGACCCGCGCCGCCCGTCAGTCGCCCTCGAAGACCGCAGAGCAGGAGCACGAGATCGGTGGTGCATACGAGTCCCCGTCAAAGGCCGACACTACGATGCACGATATCACCATGATGTCCGACTTTACCGTCGCGTCGCCTAGAAAGCCCCAGGGCTACACTTTCGCTTCCATTGAGCTTTCAGAGGTAGCCAAGAAACTCTGGTGAGTCTCCACCTAACCACTACTTGCTTAGCTTTCGCTGATCCTCGCAGCGCCCCTTTCGATCCCGATTCTTACAAGAACTTCGACTTTACCCCTACGCTTTCTCCTGTCCCTGACTTCCCCCGCCGATCGGCACGTGTGCCGCGCACGAAGCAACGAAGAAGGACAAGGGGCCTGATCTTGGAAAAGGCCATAGCCAAGCGGGTTGCAGAGTCGCTCGCTGTCGAAGAGCTCGACGCCGCCGTGCAATTCCGCCACGTTGCCGTGAAGGGCGAGCTGGCGTATGCCCTCTGCCCTCGCAAGAGGCAGAGGGTGGCCGAGGCGAGCGACGAAGACTACTTGGAACCCTACTGGCTAGACGAGGAGGTGGAAGAGAGACCCGTGATTAACATGATCGAGGCTCGCCGTGTCCTCCGCAACGACCTGTTCTCCCTTCCAGCGGGCCCGAGTGTCCGCGAGCAGCGTCAACAGTACAAGGCAGACATGGAGAAATATGGTGAGGTTATGGGTTCCACGAGGGGCAAGAGGAATTACGACGGCGAACCCAAGCGGGCTTATAATAACGGTTTGTTGACGCACGCCATCATGAAGCCCCTCCTTGCTTTCCCTATGCCCGATCTGAGCTTTGAATGGGTCCTCGAGACGGCGATCCGCGATTCCAACAAGGCCCACGGGCGCGAACAAGAAAAGCACCGTAACGTCCGGCAGCCCATCGCCGTATTCGGAGAGTCGGACTTCTCTGTCATCGAAGAGGAGGAAGAGCCGCAGAGTCCCACCGCCAAGCTGCCACACTTTCCCTCGAGCGCCACACACCACTCTGAAGCCAGCAGGAAGAGCCGACTGGACCAAGGTCTCGTTTTTCTGCGGTCAAAAATCGCTGCCTTTGCCCCCCAAGAGCAAGAAGTTGCTCCTTCATCGCCTCTATCCTCCCCCATCGGACCTGGTTTCACCTTTGAAGTCCCCTCCTTCATCTCCTCGCCGAGTGTTACCCAGGCGAACGGCGACGAACTTGAAGAGGAACCCGAGGAGGAACCCGAGGAGGCTTCTGAGCCTGTCGCGAGCCCGATCGTTTACTTCAAGGACCGCAGCCAGACGTCACCGTTCAAGAAGCGCAAGTCCCTCCCTGCGACACGCCGGTCGTCAGTCACATCCCTCCTTCGCCGGGTGTCCCTCCCCTCACCCTCCCCGCAGCCGACTCCGACCAGCTTCCTGTGGTGCAGGATCTCCAAGATCCAGCATCCAGGTCGCTGGTGGGTGCTCCCGATTCGTCGGTCGAGCTCCCCGCAGTGCAGAGTCCCTCCGTGGTTGATTCAGCAACAGCGGCGTTAGTCCAGGCTTCACCGGCTTCTGCTGGCGGGATGTCGTCGTCATCGGCATTGGCGTTGGCTTCCCCTGTGGGATCGCCTTCGCCTTCGCCCGTCGTCGTCGACGTTAGGGAGAACCCGACATCTTTGGCTCGTTCCAGGAGCGTCCCGGCTCCCCTGTTCAGGCGCCTGCCTCCCTCGCCCACGTCTTCGAGGAGGCCGGGGAGGCGACGGACCCCAAGGTTGTTGTAATCAAGGAAGGCGATCGCCTAATTGTGCATTTCAAGGTCTCGGACGAGCACGCTGCTCTTCTTGCCGCTGAGAATGCGTCCGCTGCCACTCCGACGTCGCTAGTCACCCTGGCCGATCAAGAAGAGGAACAGGAGAGAGAGGGCGAGAAGCAAGATGACGAAGTGTCGCAGATGCCAAACCAGGCACCTGCCCCGGCCTTGGACGAGGATTCCGATCTGATCATGCTCAGAGAGTTCATGAACCGTCACGCCGCCCGCAAGGCCGCCAAGGCTGCCGAGCCTGTCGAGCATGTCGACCGCGCCCCCTCTCCCACATCCACTCCGGCTCTTTTTCTCTCGCCGGCCCCTGTTCCCTCCGCCCCGATTCTCTCTGTTGCTCCCACCCCGAGCGCGCCCAGAGCATCTGGGCTGATACGCCGGCGTTCTCGGTCACGTCCTCAGCGGAGCGTCCTCGCTCTGCCCGACGGGCGTCTCCAGCAGTCTCGACTGCTCGCCAGCCTCTTGGAGCTCTCGACGTTAACAGCCCGAGTCCTAGAAAGGTCAAGAGAAAGGCTGATGATGCGGAGGAGAGGGAGGTATCGCCGGAGAAGAAGCCTCAGCCACCGAAGCGCCAGCGCAGAGAGAAGGCAGAGAAGCTTGGCAGGGACGAAAATGAGGAGCCAAAGGAGGACGAGAATACCAAGCCCACGGAGGAGGCCGGCCCCGTGCCGGGCGTCAGGACTCGCGCCCAGCGCGCCGCTGAGCGTGGCGAGGTAGCCCCCGCCACGAAAATCCCCGTCAGACACAAGGGATACGCCAAAGTGAGGAGCGGAGAGAAGGACTTGGCGGCTCTGACTCGCCAGAACACTCGCACAAATAAGGGAAGTGCACTGCCAGCCGAGCAGGTGCTGGAATCGTTGAAGAACGCGCCTCCTACTGTTGAAACCAGAGCCGCCGCCGCGGCTCGCAAGGACGGGAAGAGCGTCCAGTGGGCCGAAAAGTTGGCTAGAAGCCAATCTGAGGAGCCTCCTTTGGCGCCGCTGAGCCCCGCGGAGGAGAAGCAGGTGGGCAAGACGAGAGGCAGACCCAAGGGTTCTGCCAACAAGACCACCACAACCAAGGCGTCGACCGCCACCACGAGCTCGACAACTGCCAAGGCGACGACCACCAAGTCAACCAAGGCGCGCCAGCCCGCGATCCCGGGTCCGAAGAAGGAGGGCGCGAAGATCACCAAGCCGAAAAAGGTGACTCCGGCGGCCAAGAAGGAGTTGGGACTGAGCGCCAACGGCACTCCTGCAAAGCGCAGTGCCCGCATCGCTAAGAAATAAAGGCATACGAGGAAGAGTTGTGACGGGTGATGGATGGAAGGACGAAGAGTCATGGCAAAGTTGGACAGCGGAGGAACATTGCATTCGACTTGCATTGCATGGCGGGCAAGGGAAAAGGCACAAGCATAGCCGTTGGCGTTTGGGAATATTGTTTGTTTGTTTGCATTCACCGAGTCTGATTTCTGTCGGTTTACATGTGTTGGTTCTGCATCCTCATGGCGGCCTGGCGAGGCGTGCGTCGTTTCTGTTCTTGTTCGGCTTCACAGCTCTATACCCTTTGCTCTTCCCTGAACATAGAGACGGATAGGGACTTTTACGAATGACGATAACAAGATTGCATCCACCCAGTGAGGTTTAGACGGCTGGCAAGCTTTTATGCCGTCACGACGTGTGAATATCCCGTGGCTCTGGTTTGTGCTAACCCACCATCTCCTTGCCGGCTGCCTGGGCAATCGTTCCTTTGCATGTGCATTCCTGACTTTTGACCAACAAAGCCGCTTTGCATAGGGTTAACAACGAATTATTTGGACTCCCGTTGTCGAGTCTTAGCAGCCCGTATACATTCTGCTGTCTGTGATCCCAATCACTGGGAACGCGGGACAACAGCAGTCATCGGGGACAAAGTGGCATGTAGAAAAGAGGGGTGGATTCCTCCATATGTTATCCGTCCTGCTGGTAGCTCAGCTAAGGACAAGACATTGATTGGCTTCCATTGGCCTGGTTTCATCGTGCAGAACCCAGGGCGATGAAAAGCGGGAAGCGCGAACGCCATCGCCAGGGAATCCTAGGGTCTACTTGGTGCTGCAGATTCGCATCCGGATGCAGATCTGGACACTCTACTCTTGGACCAACACCTCACATTCCCAACAAGCTAACGTCCATGGCCGCCTCCCTCGCAAGCCGGACAGTCAGCCACGCCCGCTAGGTCGAAATGGAAAAGAGGCGTAAGAGGAAGCGGGACAGCTACAAAAACCGCAGCTCCCTTCCTCTGAGACAAGGAACCCAGGCGTCTTCTTTTGTACTTGGCTGCATTGGTGCTGCCCTCGACTGGTATCCCGAGAACCACAAAGATTATCGGCACGCGACAGCCATAGAGCACTGCCGACTATCCGAGCAAACCCGACGAAAGGGGTACAAAGTCCGGTTACCTTTCCTTTGGACACGCAAGGATGGCCGAAACCTCGGGCACCGCAGCCCCCGCCACGACGGCCACGGCCGCACCGACGAGCGCAACGACTCAAGGTCTTAACCAGCCGGAAGAGGCTCTTGAGGCTGACGAGGGATTTGCTGTTGGTAGACGGAGAATCCCTGCACCAACGAGCTCTGGCTGACGTTGACACCTCCCAGTCCGACAACGATTCATCCATCGATGACCGGATGTAAGTGGGCTGCGCGCCATGCCTCTCACTGTTCTCAGACTAACCCTCTTGAACAAACAGCTCGAGCTATACTGCCTCGCTTTCCTCCAGCGTCATCGACTATCCGGAAGAGTACGGCAGACGGTATCACGCTTTCCGGCCCGGGTGTGAGTTGTCTTGCCACGTTTAAGGCGGGAATGTGCAGCTGAGGGTAAACCAGCTTATTCGTTTCCCAACGACGAGGTCGAGATGGATCGCCTCGACATGGCGCACGCTTTGATGGTTCGAGCCATCGGCAGCAAGCTGTACCTGGCGCCTCTCGAGAAGGACAAGATCCATAGGATTCTCGACATCGGCACCGGCACGGGCATCTGTGAGTGGTTCTCGCCGAGGCGGGCTGTGTCCTGATCCTGATTCTACTTTCTTGCCAGGGGCTGTTGAAATTGGTGACATTTTCGAGAATGCCGAGGTGAGTTGACTATGGGTTCTTCCGGCGTCGTGTTTCAGGTACTGACCAGCGACCAGGTTGTCGGAAACGACTTGAGCGCCATCCAGCCCGAGTGGTAAGCGCATGTGCTGGCAAAAGTCTGGTGGATATTCTAGGGCTCACTTTGTTGATGTAGGGTCCCTCCAAACGTCAAATTTGAGATTGACGACGTTGAGAGCCCCTGGGTCGGGAACAAAAAGTACGACTACATCATGTGCCGGTACATGGCCGGCTCGATCGGAGACTGGCCGAGACTGATAAACAACATTTACGAGTATGCGCCTGAGCACCCTCCATATTTGATCCTGTGCCACCTGCCTTGTCCCAGCTGAAGTAGTGGGCTTCGGCGAGATACTGACAACTCGCAGCAACCTCAACCCCGGAGGCTGGGCCGAGTTCCAGGACATGAGCACCGAGTACTACTCGGACGACGGCACGTATACGCCCAAGCACGCCACCCACGACTGGAACCAGACCTTTGTCAATACCCTCAAAAGCATGGGCCGCGAGCCTTGCCCCGGCCCGCAGCTCGAGGGCTGGGTGCGCGCCCACAACGGCTTCAGCCACGTGTTCCACCAGAAGTTCAAGACGCCCATCGGGCCCTGGGCCAAGAACCAGCACCATAAGGAGCAGGGAATGCTGAACCTGGTGCAGATCCTCGAGGGCCTCGAGGCGTTCTCGCTGAAGCTCTTTTGCGGCGTGCTCGGGCGGACCAAGGAGGAGGTCTTGGTGCAGCTCGCCGCCGTGCGGCAGGAGTTGAAGAGCGGCGCGTTTCATTCGCTGCTGGATCTGTGAGTGTGCCCTTCTTCGGAAAGCCGTTGGGAGCGTCTCGGCTGATTTCTCGTACAGGCATGTGGTTTATGGGCAGAAGCCCGTCAATGTTGGCTCCTCAGCGGAGAGCTGAGGAGAGGATTGAACCTTTAATACGGGGCTTGCAGATGTATCTCCCGATTCGGCTTATGGGGTTCTTTACTAGTCCCACCCGTAGCATTGCAATGCAGCGTTTAATACGTGAGCATCGAGACCTGGCACTGCAGGCGTACCGCGGCTGTTTCCAGGCACTAGGTGAACAGATGAACTAACTACTTTAACAAGTCATTTCAAGATCACATTCCTCAGCCCTATGAGATGGAGGGGCCGTATCTTCGGATTTTCAGCTGGATTTACAGTTTGATCCGCATGGTTCTTTTCTGATCACAGGTACCCATAGGGGCTTGTAGGAATGACGGTGGCGGGACTACGTCCACGCTCTGAGGCCGTCGGTCGTGCGAGAATGATTCCCATGTTGTTGTGTTGTAGATGGTCAAGTGTTAAAATGACTGGATTGCCCAGTATCAGGCATCGCGGCGTATGATATCAAGTCAATGTTCTGAATATTACCCAGCATCAAACTGTGGCCGCTTGAGGCGGCGAGAAATGATGCATGATTGACGTCCGAGCACATTGTGAATCACCCTCCACCAGGATCTGAGCTGCTAGCATGCGTTGTTCTGTGATATGAGTGTTGCGAGAACGAGTAAATCTCGCACAATCTCATCGGGCGCTCAACCGAAACTTCATCGTAGGACCATGCCTGGTGATTGCGCTTTCAGATATAACTCAACTCACCTCAAGTCGCATGATACGACAGCGGGAGATGAGCGCACAGCCCTCAGCCCTATGAGATGAGATGGACGGATCGTCCCGCAGGCCAAGTTCGGACGATGGCAGTCAGGACGTGGGGAGGCCCCCATAATTAAATAACTGACAAGTTGATCAAGTACCTCACGTAGGAGGGAAAGCATGGAGATGAATGACTGCTGCGAATGTGGAAAACGGCAGACAGATTCACGCATGAGAGGCTGCCGACGCCGCCACCCATCGTGCCTCTCTGTCAAACTAGCCAAGGTGTGCCCAGAAAAAGAAGCCCGTAATTGCCGCCCACCGGCATTCCGAGCTATCGAGAACACGTGGAGGTGCATAGCATATCGCATATCATTCTCCATTTCGTACAACCATCGAAATCACCACCAAATGCACCTCTGGCACAACCCGGCCCCCAGGCGCGCCAACAAGACACAGAACCAATCTGAGGTGCAGTCGCGTCTGCAGCCCAGGGAAACCCATTACGAATCCTCCAGCACGCGGTACGTCTTGGAGCTGGCGGCCCTGCAGGTAGCGCAAGTCGGTCGAGCTAGGCGCTTTCTGCCCATCCATCTGATTTTCTTTGCCCCTCGTGGACCCCCGATTCACACTTGGTCGGTCATTTGACCCCGCGACACCCCAAAAAAATTAAATTACACAACAACCACAACCAAAGCGTCTCGCGACCGACAAACTTTCTCTCTTTCAGCAACGACTGTCGTTACCGTGAGAAGATAGACGCAGGCAACAAAAACAAACATGTCGTTCCTCGGCAACTTTGACGTCGCTAAGCTGGCCTCGCAGCTGGGCAATTTCAGCATCCCGGATGACCCTGAGATCATCAATCAAGGTGAGTGAGATGTCGCCCTCCCGTGTCCCTCACCTCACCTTGCCTCACCCCACCCACGGCCCATCGGGATCTGACCCCGACGGACGATTGTAGGCCACAGAGACTACGGCTACACCAACCACGGCACCCGCGGCGACGGCTACGACGGCCGCCCGCCCTCGGGCTACGCCGGCGGCCCCCAGAACGGCGCAGACAAGTACAGGCGTGAGCACCCCGCTGCCTTCGGCTCCAGCGACCCGGCACGCTCCGCCTACTCCGACCCGGTATCCGAAGGCGCCGCCATGTCGTCGCTGGCGGCGGGCGTAGCAGCGGGAGCTGCAGCCGGCGCCTACGGGTCGCAGCCCCAGTACCCGATGCCGCACCCCGGGCGGTACGGAGACCCTGGCGAGACGCCGAGTCCCTATCCGCCGCAGCAGCAGCAGGCTTACGGCCGACCCCCATCGCCGGGGTACGAACGACCTCCGTCACCGCGCCTACCAGAGGGTTGGGTGAAGCGGTTTGACGACAACACCAGACGTTGGTATTACGTTAACCAGGCGACTGGTAGTTCTCAGTGGGAGGCGCCTGCTGCGCCTTCGCCCCCGCCGATGTCGCCAGGATATGGAGGACATGGGGAGCCGGCGAGGTACGGTGGCCACTCACCGCAGCCGGGATACTCGCCTCAGCCTGGGTACGGGGTCCATTCGCCTCAACCAGGATACGGAGGACACTCTCCCCAGCCGGGATACGGAGAGTACGCCGGCGCAGCTGCCGGGGCTGGGGCGGGATATTACGCTAGTCAGCAATATGGGCAGAGTCAGCAGCATGGCTACGAGCAGTCTCAGCCTTACGGCCAACCCCATGGGCAACCGTACGGCCAGTCTTATCCGCAGCAACAGTACGGCCAGCCCTCTGAACAGGGCTACAGTGGCGAGGAGAAGAAGAAAAAAAAGAAGAAGAGCGGCAATGGCAACATGCTACTCGGCGTGGCGGGCGGTCTTGCGGTTGGCGCCATAGGAGGCGCCCTCATCGCCAACGTGTTGGGTATGTTCCCCTTTGCTTCCTACTACCTGATCTATGAATATCGAACTAACAATCGCATAGAATCTGGCTCCGATTCCGGCTCTGAGCGCGAACACCACTACGAGCGCCGTTCATCCTCTGGATCCGAGGACGACTACCGCCAGGGCGACTTGGCGTACGAACGCGATGACAGCGACCGGGAGGCGAGGGAGGAGTACGAGGAGGAACAGGATGAGTATTATGATGACTGAGGTGCTTCTACAGTAGATGTCTCGATTCTCCTTCAGTAACTAGCTAAAGTGGTCAATACGAGGTCAATGTGTAGAGAAGTATCGGCAAAATAGAAAAGATACCATCTCGTAAGACACTTCTCTAGCTTTCTGGCAAGGTTGCTCTCGAGAACTTGCTTGATTCGAAGCTGCCTAGCTGATTGCGCCACCGGCACCGGCCACGGATCGAACTCTCATAAAGTTGTCAAAAGCAAGGCATGAGTTTGACAACGACTTGTTAGTAAGCCTGCTGGGTGAGATTTAAGCTTGAAGGGCTTCTCAATGTGACCTACTCAGCATTTAGGTCCTTTTCCGTTTCAAGTCTGCAGTACTCGTGGCGATGCCCACCGGAGAACTCAGCATCCAGTCTGCCCTCCAGTAGATAATCCGATCTGCAGCAGCTACGATGGAACCAGCGGGTACTGATATGTATTGAATGCCTGGAGAAAAGAGACAAGTTCGAGAAGAAAATCTAGGCTTGCGGGTTCAAGATCGGCCCAACTAATAATGCATGCGGTGGCGGCTCTACAAGGGAAATACTTACTAAATTGCCTTAGTATGTCTCACTCCACTAACACTATGGACACTCAAGCTTTAACAATGCAGCCAAATTGAGATCAGATCACTGCAAACAGCAAGAATAACATACCAGATCCAATCTAGAACTTAAATACAGTACTAGCGAAAGGAGGGACTATCCCGCTAATGGCTTATAGTATTTCTCCATTCTACGGAATTGGCAAGCCTTACAAAACGAAATAGTACTTATTGCCAGATCGCAGCGAGCCAAGACCAAATTCCCGTCTCATACCTCTCTTACCAGATTAACCTTACTTGCGCCCCAACCGCGCCTGAAACGTTAAAAAAGCCTCCTCAACAGTTTTCATTGCCGACCGAAAAATGGTTAGAATTCAAGTCGTTGGGCTGCTTTCCTTTATAGGAATCGCTGCCGCTGCGGTATCGACAGACAAGACCTGCGGAGGCACTAAAGGGAACACATGCCCGGGATCAGACTGTTGCAGTCAATACAACTGGTGGTAAGTCTTGCATTCAAAGTACGAAGTGAGAGACTGTAAAGCACCATGAAAACTGAGCCCTTTCATAGCGGAACGACCGATGCACATTGCGGAGCAGGCTGTCAGTCCAAATTCGGCAAATGCACGACCAGTTCGGGCACCACTTCGGGCACGAGCAAGGTCAGCCCGGACGGGACTTGCGGAGGAACCAAGGCATACACCTGCACGGGGAGCACCTTTGGCACTTGCTGCAGTCAATGGGGATACTGTGGCAACACGGATGAGCACTGTCTCAATGCATGCCAGTCCAAGTTTGGAGATTGCAGCTCCATCTCCGTAGGGGGCAAATCCGTGAGCCAAGATGGCTCATGTGGCGGCACTGCGGGCTTCACATGCCAAGGGAGCAGCTACGGCGACTGCTGTAGTCAATGGGGATACTGCGGATCGTCCGGCGATCATTGCGGCACCGGCTGTCAGGCCTCGTTCGGAACATGTCCTGCTTCGGGCGGAAGCGCCGCCGCGACGTCCTCCGCCGCGAAGCCTGCATCTACCGGCTCGAAAGCAAGCCCAGACGGCAGCTGTGCTGGCTCCAACGGCTATACGTGTCCTTCGGGGCAGTGTTGGTTAGTCCGTCCTTCCGATGCGGCCATTTCCCGCTGGCTAGCGGCAGCAGCAGCTAACAGACCACCTTCTCAAGTTCGAGGAATGGATATTGCGGCACCACGAGCGACTTCTGCGGCTTTGGCTGCCAGTCTTCCTTCTCGCCTGGAACCTGCACGGCCTGCCCTGGATCGGCCTGCGCCGGTACGGTGAGCAGCAACCCGACGTGCTCCGCGAACAACGGCTTCTGCTGGACGCTCAACTCCAAAAAGTTCCAAATCGTCTGTGACAGGCTAGCAACGGGAGACAATCTGAGCTACGTGGATGCCACCAGCCTCGGCGACTGCATTTCCAAGTGTGGCTCTACCGCGGGCTGTGTTGCCGCTTCCTTTTACCAGGGCGCGAGCACAACCTGCACTTTGCTCAGCGCCTACCGAGGGTCTGCTGATGCCAACTCGGCTGGCGGCTCCAAGAACCATGCCTACGTCCGTAGCCCCAGCTGTGGATAGACTTGTATCTTTAGTGAAGGCATTGACAGTTGAGCTAATTCGAATATACCCATGAACTCGGCCCGTTGGGAATATAATTCGGGGGCGAACGATGTATTAAGTATCTTACGCTGGATAATTCTAGTATTTAATTAACCAGGTTTGAGTTATTCGAGTCACCCAACCTCGTTCTCGTATGTTGCTTACGTCTTTTAACGAGGATATTACAAGACCTGGCTTGTCAACGTCAACACTGCCTAGGACAGAGCGCACATTGCCTACTCTGAGATGCATCATCGGATTGTCATTGTCCAGTCTTTTTTAAGAAAAGCGCCACTGTCTTTAACGACCTGGATGTATCAAAAATCAACGATCGGTACGCGACGCTGATGCCAGAAGAAGCTGTACGGCCTCTCGGGAATAGTGGTATCGCGTGATCCCATCAATTCTGCTTACAAGCGCTTGGTTATATACAGAACGGCGAGCCTGACCCATCTCCTGCCTTGATGCCTGCCTAAAAACATCAAGACCGTGCTCAAACCAGCACCGTCCCAACCAACCGGCCTAGAAAAGACTTGGACCCCTCAAATTATAGCAGTTGAAAATTCAGTAACGTTAATTTGATTGAAGTAAAGTATATCGTAGACAATATTGCGAAAAGTGAAATCCATCTGAACACCCACATGACAAGTTACGGTGGCGCCGGGTCTGCACATCGCTCGACTACGAAGTGACACATTCCTCAAAGCCTTGAGAAATATTGACCTGTTTACTTGGGACTTTTTCAGCAAAATTATTACGTGCAGGAGTCGTTTCTTAGTACAAGAGCTTAGAAACCGCAGCTCTGGTGATGATGGATCCAGGTATGAGCTCGCTGGTTTGAAGCTTGGAGGATCGAAGCATTTCAATATCTATCAAACATCGGTGACGGAATCATAAATGGGCATAAAAGGTAAAGAAGGGACTCATATTAGTGACATGCGAATAGTTCGGACGTTTCTTATTAGGAAAACGCCGAGGGAGGTAGCTCCGCTTGTTCTTCCTAGACAGGACCACGAGGCCATGCAACTAACCACCCTTGCATTTGCAAACTCATCCGTGATGATTCGGGCTCTTGCACCAACAATATGATGTTCTATGCTATCAGGGGCGTTGGCTGCAAAGATTGATGTATGATAAACTTTCAAACTCTGACAAACATGTCAGAAGTTCAGATCAAATAGTGACCGCTTACAGCATAGATCAGCAAGAGCCAAGTCAAGCTCTTCTCAACATAAAGGTGAGGGAACATCCATTATCATACATCATGGCAAAGTGTCTCGCAATGGATAAATATGGATTGTCTAGACTGATTAGGTTCATCCAGACGCAACCACGTTGCAATGGAAGACAAGGGTCTTTATTCGTCCCTGTACCCTGCCTGTACGATCTTCACAGATTGGATGAATGGAAACACAAAGATCTCCCGTCATCTGAACTCGGTCAGGAGCTATGTTTCATCATCGGCAATCTACTATTGGAGACTCTATTTCCATCCACTTAAACAGTCCGAGATGTTCGGACTCGCGATTCATAGGTGGACTTGCGCCTCTGTGATGATTGCAACTGTTATCGCACACTGAATTTGATGGGCCCCAAAGCATATACATAGGAGTAGAGCCGTCCGTTGCTCTGAGAAAAGCAATGCCAATTGTCTTGTTTCCTGGACCTCGTACCGACCTGGACCAGGCGTCTTGGCGTCAAGGACAAGGGGTGAGTCACCGAAGCGGGCGGTTTAGTTGTCGAGTGGGTTCAACGAGCAGATTTACTAGGTGGGGGGGCCTCTCTTGGTACGATTCAAAACATCCGAGATGCTCGTAACTGACAAACACACCTCCAATGACGATATATTCCATGTAGCCTAACTACTTCTAGTGTATCTGTCTCGCCCCTAGCTCCACACTATATCGTGCCGATCTAGGAGGCATCTTGGCAACGTTTCTACTTGATTTACCAACTGCGAATTGATTGCCCAATGACCACCACACCGGTATATTTTGTGCGAGGTGCGGCAGTTGAACAACTTCAGAAGGCTTTCTCTTCAACGAGAAGCTAATGCTACGTTTTCTTGGCTTGATGTGGGTTTGGTCGAGATCGGACGCAATAACAGCCCGATGCGACACACCTACAACTGATGGCCCTCATTTCATTTCGTATCGCCTATTCAGATAGATTGCGCAACAAGCACTGCCTGCAAGGTTGATTACTACGCCGGTACCATGGCAGCGTATCTAGGAATAAAGTTTGATCGATAGAACTTATAAGAAATCGTATGCCTTTCAACTTCAACTAGAGAAATCAATTCGACTTTTCGCAGAACCGCCACTTTGTCAACTCATTGTGACAATGAAGCTCTCCGTTCATTTCGGTCTTTTGACCTTCGTATCATCAGTTATTGCCCAGAATGGTAATGGCCCCAATGCACCAGCAGTATGGAAACATTGTTCTTTTGCGTGACTAAATACTCAACTAACTCGGTCCTTTAGAGCTACCGCGTCGACTCTTCCCTCCCCAGTCACACCATTTATAGCCCTGCATCAGGCAATTCAAGCCTGTTGCCAGTTTTCATCTGGGGAAACGGCGCCTGCTCCGCCGACGGCACGTCTGCTCAGAACTATCTCAAGCAAATTGCATCCTATGGCTACCTCGTTATTTCACAGGGCACTCCAGGCAAGTCAGGCAGCACCACTGCCGCACAGATGAAGCAAGCTGTCAACTGGGCCGCTACTGGTGGAAGCGGAGCTTTTGCTGGTAAGGTGAACACCAAGCAGATCATGACGGCGGGTTACAGCTGTGGCGGTACCGAGGCATACAACTTCATCAGCGATAACCGTGTGTCATCCATCGGCATCTTCAACTCTGGAATGCTCGGCAACTACGATCAGGCGAAGCAGATCAAGAAGCCTATTATCTTCGCTCTTGGCGGCCCTAACGATATTGCTTACGGCAATGTAAGTGCAAACATATCTCCAGAAAATGGCTCTAGACTGATTGATTAACTTAGGGTGAACGCGACTACAAGAATCTTCCATCTGGAACCCCCTCCTGGAAGGGAAACCTCAACCGCGTTGGCCATGGAGGTACCTACGGTGAAGTCAATGGCGGAGCCTTCGCGAAGGCTACCGTTCAATGGCTCAACTGGGTTTTCAAGGGCGACACCAGCGGCAAGACTTATCTGCTTGGTGGAACCCCTGCTGACGGCTGGAACAATGCCGTTAACAAAGGCCTCGACAACTTAAAGGTACCCGTCAGCGCAAACTAAAGATGCTAGTCGTTCTTAGTTATGTCTTCAGAGAGTTATCAAACTTCGGCTTTCTTCTTATGTACATATCATAGCCATTGCCTTTAGAAGATGCCGATCAGAGGGTGCTGACCTCGACCACTACAAACATGGTGTTGACATAATTATACAACCATCGAAACTTGAATGAAACATTCGGTTAACTACAGTGCTACTTCAATTCGCTTTAAACACAATGAATATCTAGCCTCTGCACCTTAATTATCATACAGTTGTCACTGAAGCTTCAATTTTTCTGGGCTCTTGGACAAAACAGAGTCTAAAGTGGTACCGTTCTGGGCGGTATTTATTGGTAGCCGCGGGATATTCATGTTGCTGGGATTCAATCATAAAGTTTGGAAACGTTCTGCGATGGTTATCGACCCTTTCTTAACTCTGAGGTTCTGGCCAAATTAACTTTGAGAACTGCAACAAGTGTCATTGCCTCCCGTTCACTCAATAGTCTTACAAAGATAAGACCACAAACTATCAGATAAATGAAGTGTGCGTTTCGCCTACAGTTTAAGCCTCGGCTGATGATCAAGTGTAAAGCAACAGTAATGCTGACTTGGGTATTGATCTCACCAAGTCCAGTATTAAGTCAACCACTCCCTAGTCTCTTTCTGCTGCCGCATGTATATACTTAGCTTACATATTGTCTACCTCATTCGGAGTATCGGTACTCTCCATCTCTTCCGTATCCGACCAGCTAGCGTCCGACTTCTCCTCCGGGGGGTTAGTCATCCTCGAAACGAATGACTGATCAGCAGTGCCGAGGATGGCCTTTTCGATAGCCTGACCAAGAAGCCCGGCAGTGTCGGGCTTCTCGATGCATTTCTCGACCCCGTCCTCCGGGGAGCTCAGGAGACCGACATCCAGCATTGACATCTTCAGCTTCTCGACGAAAGCCTGGACCTCCCAGTCTAGCTTGAAGTAGTTCACGGAGAACTCCTTCTTAGCCATAGTCTCAACTGTTTGGTCGAGGATCTCGAGTACCTGGACGTGCCGCATGTTGCCCATCATCTAGACCCGGCTGACCATCTCCTGCGTCTTTTGATCGTTGCAGGACGACTCCAATTTGAGGGGTGTCTTCTCCCGCGACATGCCGAAAGGGTCATGCTTTGAGTTGGGCGGTAGACCGAAATGACCGCGAACGATGTCGGAGATATAGCTCATGTCCTGTCGCCTTCGCCAGTTGTATGATCGTTCGCCGTATCGGATCCAGAAGTCCGTGATGCGGCCAACCTTCTCGAGCAGCTCCATCCAGAGATGGTAACGCTTACCGTCCGACATTGTGCTAGAATACTTGACCAAGACGCCGGCCGCCTTGAGATCCTCAGTGACAGGGAAGCCGAGAAGCTCGGTGCCATGCACGTCTAGGAACTTGTCCATCTCTGTCCAGGCAGGGATATCGGGGTAGTCCCGTCTGGCAATGTGGTACAGAATTCCCGTCCACAGAGGAGCTGGCGTGCGGGTGAGCAAGCGTATGCTCAGCGCAGCCATGTCGACCTTTGTGCGAAAGTTCATCAGACCAGGCCAGACAGGCTCGGAGTCGAATAAATCGAACTTTGTAAGCTTCTCGGTTACGCCCATGTTCGTTGCCCTTAGTGTCTTATCCTCGTAGGTAAAGTCTCTCAACGCAAAGTGTTGGATGGTTCTAATATGATGCTCGGCCATCTCCCTCCACTCCGAATCCCAGACCTCGTCACACGATTTGATGGACTTTTTCATGTTCTCGATGGCCGCCCTTGCGGTGGCCTGGAGCTGCTGGCGGGCGTCTTTCACCTGGTCGTCCAAAATGTTCCTAAGGTCTAGGTACAACTGTAGAGAGAAGATGAAGCATGATGGGTAGTAACGCATCAGGAGGACCTGCTCAAAGTCGAGCTCGAGCTCGGGTTGGCCGGGAATGACAGGAGGCTCCTGCTGGTTCTTCTTGAGAGCCTTGGCCTCCGCGACTTCAGGGAACAGGTCGAACACGCAAGCCTTGTTGAACTGAGAGAATTCATATGCAGTAATGGGCCCGTATTTGGGCCGTTTCTTCGCCGACGGCGGAAACAAGGACACCTTCCCCGGTGACGACTGCGCAAGAATATCCTCGACAGCAACGTAGGCAGACCAGCCCAGCCAATCAGCCTCGTTGCGCCAGATATGCTCATGCAACTCCTCTTTGTTCTCAGCATCCTCGTCATAGTCGACATGCTCCATGCCATACTCAAAGAAGAGCAGCTTCATCATGGCGTCGTAAGACTGGAGGTCTTGCAGACCGTTCTCGCCTAGTAGGCGTAGTAGCTCTTTCTCCATGTCTCGGAAGAGCTCTGCGGCGGCGTTTGTGATGATCGCGAGGGTGTCGAGGGAGACGGACTTGTCGTAGAAGTAGTCGCACCAGCGCTCGCAGACGTGGTTGCGAATGGCGTTGAAATCCTCGAAGAAGCAGTAGATTAGCATGTAGTAATCCAGGCCGTCCTCGTCCTCGTCGAAGGCGTCGGTAATATGGAAGCGATCAACCCATTCGCTACCGGCGACAGCGGTTTTGGCTGAGGGTTTCGTCTTCTTAAACACGGCTTTGGACTTGTGTGCCTTTTTTCCTTTCTTGCCGCCCTTGCCCTTCTTCTTGGCCGGTTTGCGCTTGCTTCGACCTGGTTGCGACTTGCCCTCGGCCTCGGATTCAGACTCAGACCCGGATGCCTCCGACTCTGGTTGCTGTTCCTCAGATTCAGCTGTTCCTACCTCGTTTGGAGCATTCCCAGATTTCTGGAGCTGCAGAAGGTTAAACATGTTGTCAAGAACATCCATGCTAAAGCGCTGATGCTCCTCAAGCGGTTCCTCCTTCTTCCTCTTGGACCGCGTGGGCGAGTCAGCCTTTTCAAGTACGCCGAGCACCTTTTCCAAGACCTTAATGATGTGCTCATGTTGCTGGTTACTCATCTTGAGCTTGCCCGTCGTGTCACCTTCAGCAGTCTTAGAGTAGAACTTGCGCTCTTTTTCCTCAGTGCCACAACATCGCGCAAGACAAGGATCGGATCCCAAGGGATCTCATCTGGCTTGCTGTTAGTGACGATGATCTCTGCGAGACCCTCTAGTTCGCTCCAATGAACCTTTTCCGAGACCGGGTCCAGCTCTGGCTTCTTCTTGGTCTTCGACGTGCCGACGGTCGCTGGCGGTGGGGGTGAGGGGTTCGAAGATTTGAATTTGTTGGCTGGCTGCTTCAGCCAGTCGGTAAACCGGGCCTGCCCGAGCTTGTAGCGCTTCAAGTGCCAATTGACTGGAACCCTTTGGTATCCATGTTGGTGAGCCTTGATATGCCCAGCGCTGATGAGATTGAGACTGGGAATGCCAGGGTTCGGATTTAGATGAGCTGGCAAAGTTTACGAGGCTAAAAAGTCTGATTACATCATACTCGGCCCGACGCGTCGCGCGCGTCAAGAACCATTGTTCACCGAGGTGAACATAGCAGAGCGGCAGCGGATTCATCTCTAAAGTTCAACAAATTGTTGCACAAGGAGTTTTTTGTTGTTTTCAAGTCACGTTGGGGGAAATTAATTGAAAGAACTGTGGGAGTATAGGTGGTGTAGCTGTATTGTAGGACAAAATGAACCGGACGGCTGCTTAATTACGTGTTTGCATCCCTGAACGAGATCTTCGATACTCTTTCGTTGAGTTAAGTTGACGAGACAGCCCTGGTACCAAACGAAATCCAAAACCTTACCAGAGAACATGAAGCTGACTCGCTTGATCCCATGTCATTGTTGTCTAGTAAGCCTCGCCAGCATCAGTTTTACCATGTGCCCCCCTTGGTTGTTGCAGCACTCAGCACTCCCTTCCTTATCGAATGTGTCTGCCAGGGCATTTCTAACATAAAGTTATCAACCCGCCCATTAAACCGCCCACGACACGTAAGTGTTTACCATCGTTCTCAACTCCGCCTGCAAACTCGTCGACGCAACTCCATGGAACATCGCTTCAAACACCTCGGTTTCGCCAACTTAAATCTGATCACCTCTGGCTTCCGAACGTATAGCGCGAACGGACCTACGGATCCCAAATGCGCAATATCTTAACTAACAAGTACTACTCGCGGTGTCCATTGACAGTCAGGGCTACTAAACCTTTGTGCGTTGATTAGTAGTCCCCAGTGCTGGGCATGGCAAACGGCGACAGGTGGAGCAAGCGGTAGCCCAGTGGCCCGTAACTGGTTCGAGCATGCAGCTCGACTTCTCGACGAGAAAAATGGTGTAATACGCAGTGTCTTGCGATGTTGATTATGAAAGACGACTAGAAGAATGAGTAAACAGGAAATAAAACTTAAAGCACTCGGGATAGACAATCTGATAAGCTTGATAGTTTTCATCAGTCCCTTGTAAGAGCCCTGGAAAACTGTTGGAAGGCGTATGCAAAGTGTAATTGATCGGACCGGCAACTGGACTGCATTCTTCCATTTTGTGGTACATCTTCCTGTTCCAATCCAATGATGGCGTCTTTTATCAATATCTCCTCTGCTTCTCATCTTCAATAAAGTTGAAAGAATCATTCTCTCCACATACACGTGGCTTTGGAAAACTTCCAAATCGATTGTCTTAGAAAATTTAAGATGCTCCGACGTGGGGCGACTCTGGCATATGAAGAACACTTCGCGAATCTTGTAGTAACTTATAATTCGTCTTATTTCCGTTGCCATGTTTGTTCAATTGGACAGCTTGTGCAGATGATTTGGAGGTCTATCGTATGGCTATATCCCTGTGCCGCTCGTTTGGCAAAACGCTATAAAGGATAGTTAATGATCCCATAGAATGATATTGCTTGTGAGGCCTGCTATCTATTTGCTCAGATGACTTAAGTAACCGGTTAGAAATCTCCCTGGAAAGATCTGCACACTTCTAACATATTTCCCGATTTTCACAATTTATTTTGCGGAAGATTGACTTATTGTGATTTCTCAGTCGGGGGAGTGGTGCAAGGTACATTTGATGAGCGAACTATGATTCCGAAGTTGAAAACACAATGGGCTTCGACTCCTTACAGTGACGGGCTCATGGCCCGGGCTACTGGCAGGTCGGAAGACATAACTTCGTAAGTAGGGCCTTATAGAGAAAACACATCAGCATGCTGAGGAAGTGCGTTGAGTCCATGTTTGTGAACGCCTGAATCGAGATAGGATGGTTTATCAAGACTTTAAACAGACTTTATCTGTCACAGTCAAAGGCATAGAAGTTTTCCGGTCCAACAAGCCCCGCAGATACCCAGTGTTCATTGCCAAGCATCGTTCAACCCAGAGTCCCGAGGTCTGGTCCAATGAAACATATGAGACAAGATTTGATAGGCTTGACCTCGAGGAGAGATCGAAGCCATCAAAACAGACACTGGGCAGATAATGATCTACGCGAGTAAAACTGGTGGTTGCGTAATGCCGCTGTTGGTTGTTCATGGCTGGAGTTGTCTTAATTAAGCCAAAAATGGTGACGATGAACTAGCCCCTCGTGAGAAACATTAGAGACGCGAACAATGACCAAAAATATATGGACTTACTTGCAACTACTTCTTCCTTCTTAGATTGTATTTTCCACCTCGTTTCGTTGGTTCTACGGCGCTGGGAGGGCCAAGTCTTGGTCATCTTGTTAGAGCATCCTGGAGCGAACCCTGCAACCGACAACTTGGCGCATTCACCTCCAACAAGATCGAACGAGTGGATCAGGGCCGCTTTTGCAGCTTGCGACACAGATACGAACCATAAACCAGGCCTGCAGGTCTCGTTGAGAGGAACAATAGCGGCGGGTTTCTTACGTCACACGACGCAGATATTACGAAGCGTATCAACCAAATGCTCGAACGACTCCATGTGATGGGGGGTAGCAGAATCCCAGAAGATATCCAGCCTAGACACCCAAGGATTGACAGAAAAAGAATATCACGCCAGGAAACGAACGAAAGACTAGAGGCCAAGTGGCCGACCGGAAGGATGCTGTACTAACGGGCCAATCCGAAGATGATTCCAGCCGATGTACCATAGGCCTCTAGGCAACGTGTCACAGTTTGTACTCAATACATTGCTGCCGCTAGACAGAAGGCAAGCAACCTGTCTCCTTCCTTGGCCCCTCGATTAAGGATCTGTTATATCAGACTGCTTAATGGGTTTTAGTAAGAGAGCGAAGAACAGTATTTGCTTGTATAAAACCCATTGGGTTTGGCCCGTAATCATTACCTTCCAAGAATCCTAGATAAAACTCCCCTGCCTGATCATACAAACTGTCGATAAATTGACTTTCTCACACTCTCAGCTTGTGCAATCTCGGCCACGAGGTGGACTCGACCCCCGGTCGTGTTTGCTTACCGGTCTGATATCTTCGGAGCAGCAGTCGGTCAACCGAAATGGGGTAACTACGTGTGGAAAGGTGTCTTTGCGACGCTGGAGTTACTGTCGCCTGCGATGCAGCGTCTCATCTGCCAGCTTCAGTCGCCTGCACATTGCGATGAGGACGGGAAAGGACGTGGTTCCCATTCCGGATTGCATAGGTGGATAGCGCCGGACGGTCCGGGCCGATGCCCGGCGAAAGTCAATTTTTCGGCTCCGATGCAGGCGTCGTGGCTTTCACTAGAATTGTTTGAAACCCGGAAATGCAGCCGGACACGGGTGCACCTTTTGCGACCGCAAATGCCTGCTTTGACGCTGTCGACGATCATTGCCGACGTGGCTGCTTTCTCGGGGGCTCTCGGCCAATGACCTTCACCACTGCCCGCTCGGTGGATGCGAAGGCTCTTTCGTGGGAGATTGAGGTCGACAGCTGCAGAGAGGACAGTCGTCCCCTGCCCCTTGTCTACAGGCGCACGAGCGGTATGACATTCAGGAGAGGTTACGTCCTGTTACCGGTTAGCAAGATGAACTGCAGGGTTCCTGTGGAACGCCATCTCACCGTGTCTCGAACGATGGCGCAATGGCAATCTCCCGGAGACTACTGGTAGGAGACCGATGAAGACCCATGGGAGGCCATTTGTTGCCTCAGCCCTCGGAGACTAAGAATAGGTAGTCGAAATAAATGCTGGGCATTGACGCCCAACACCCACATCGTGCCATTTAAACCTCGAGGAAAATCATTGTCAGAGCTCGTCACATGAGCAATGGCTTCTGCGAGTTGTTTGGGGAGATAATTTTGGTGCGTAACAGGAGAGAATATCTGTCTATTGCACTGGAAGCGGTATAGTGCTTCCTGGACGATCCCCTGTAACAATGGTAGGATCAGCACAATGGGCATGTGTCCGGCGGGTCAAACTGGGATTTTGAGTCGCATCAGGGCGTTTGTGATCCTCCTGACAGCTGCAAGACATCAATTCGGGGTAAACGAGGCCCACAAGTCGTTGTCATCAGCCGGACTCTCCAAAGGTCATGGCGGTTCGCAACGGAGACTTTTGTTGAGAAGCGTGGCCAAGAAGCAGGTAGTGTTACGCTTGGGCGGGCAATGTGAAATGAGTTCGCGGTGGACACCCTCACGGAATTCGCCATTTGGCCCCGCTGGCTCCTTCAAATACAAATCTTGAGCGTGATGCTAACCGTTACAGGCCTCTGCATAGAGGTTGCCACAAAGGCAACGACACCTGCCGTCCGGCCGTGCCCTATGTCGCCGTTATAGCTCAAGGTAGTGCTATTTGCAGGCGAACTGCGCGCGCATTGTAGTTAATTGTCCAGTGCCGATGACCGAGGGGTACATGCTCCAAGTTGAAGGTTTTGCTTGTTCAGCAGGGGTCTAGGAGAAGCCTGTCTGGGCACTGTTGTCGTACTGATAGGGACGAACTAAGCCGTCCAAGCGAGGTATAGGTGGTATTATTGATGGCAACAATGATGCGAAGCCAACGGCTGGGTGCAACAGGGAAAATGGAGTATTTGTGTTTACTAACCGCATATCATGGAGTTACGGATCATTTGGGTGAAGGCATGACATACTATGCAACATAGGTAGTACAGTGGTAAACCGAGTGGCGAGGAACATCAACACACTTGTTCCATGAAAAGATCTTCACCGCCAATGCCGAGAGGTGTGTGTTTGTCTTGTTTGACTCATTGTCCATATGGTGACCCCCAGACACGCGTGACCCGATTTACACCATTAAGTCAAGGAATCACGAAATTCTCTCACCGACTCCTTAGTTACTGTTCGGCCGCGCAGTTGATCTTCATGCTCTCACGTCTGCTGCGCCATGGTGAGTCCGAGCATCGTCAAGTGGCCAAAATATGAGACCAGTTACATCCGAAAGCAGACTTGCGGCAAGTTCCACCGCAAATAATATAGAAGAACAAGACAATAGTCCAGTACCCTTGTCATTGCCCTCGCCTGTCGGCGATTCATCGCTGTCGCCTGTCCTGGCTACAATGCAACTCCAACGCCATGCGCTTGTCAGACTTCTAAATCCTGCCGTACAAGGGCCCTTGTCAAGAGTAGGAAAATGGCAGCTCGTGCAAATTCAGGGCATCCTCGGCTCCATCAAACATGATGTTGAACTTGGAGAAACGCCTGGCACTGTAAGGACCGATGAGACTAGCCTCCCACTGTTTGTGCATATTTATGAATGTAAAACGCAGATCCTTCGGTGCCGACTTAACTAACGGAAGAAATTATTGATAGCCATGGCAGCCCTTGCTGCTGAGGCGCGGTTGAAGACATGCAGGTAATGGCAGATGACGCAGAATAGACAGCAGCCGCGTCGTACGACAGCATGATTGTCGGTGAACCACTCGACCGCGCCATGTATCCTTTGAGGATGAGCAAGTTCAAGAGCGTGCGGGACCGGGTATTTGGAAGGTTGACCAGGCCATCGTACCAAGCGAACCTCGCGGCGGCGCGGATTCAGTGGGCACAGAGCATGGCTCATTTCTCCATCGCGGTATACCTGAAGGGGCTTGTCCTGCCGAGCCTGGCAATCATGTCATTCGCACGTCAAACTCTTGGCGATCCGCGCCGTTCTACACGTGTACGGCATAATGCGGTCTTTGAGCGACAGGCGAGTGTCTAGAGTTGCGGCGTGGCAGGGTGGGCGGAGCAGCCAGCGGAGCGCAAGCAAACATTATCCAAGGTCACCGTGGTCGGCCAGATCCGCATGACTGAGGCTCGGTGAGCCCTGGCGGTGGGAATACTCCATACTCCAGCCCGCTAGCGAAGGAACGAACCCTCCGAGTGTGGTCCTTTGATGACCCCTGAGCCAGTGTCCAAATGACGGGATTGAAAGTTCCTCGGCAATGATACCAGCAGAAGCAGGTCGAGGGTGGCTTTGGGTCGACCCTGGAGCCCACGTCAGAGGAGACTGCTGACAATAGTGATAAGGAGTCCCAGCTTTCATCAACTCAAGGATGTCGATCCGGTATAGCCGTTGGCAACTATGGTTCGAGCTCCGAAAAGAGACAGAACGCCGGAAAGTCTCTCAACTATACCCCGTACGTCAACATTGTGTTTGTGGAGTAGTCTCACATGCCGAGCGTCTTTACGTCTCGTTCGCTATGTCCTCTCGCCAAGATGTCAAGTCGGATGATTGACACAACAGGGCTCACTGTAAGCCGGAGACAGTGGACCGGGTGATCCGGTGCAACAGTCTTTTGAGGAAGCTCGGCACGGTCTATAGCATGGAAATGAGTCGATCAGCCAATATCATAATGTCATGACTTGGAAAAAATGCCTGTTGTGCCAGAAGAGCCCTTGCCATCGAAGCGGTCTGGAAGTTTGTTCGCAACGTCTTGTCTCGAGTTGGTTGCAACCGAGCTACATCTCAAATGCTACAGGTACGTGCATGGTTCCAGGGGGCCCGCACCGGTGAATCAACCGGGTATGTGGGGTGAGGGGAACCCCGTGGATGAGCAAGAGGACAGAAAGCTTGCCCATCGCGTGGTTTGGAGCTGCAATATTGGCCTTGATGGCGCAGCCAAAGTCAATCAGGTGATGGCAAGCCTAAAGATGGTTTCGATGGAAAGCATCCCACGCAATCACCGCTTCCAGGCAGCCACTAGTAAGGCAAGAACAGGGGTCGAAGACTGTCGCAACCTCTTCTCGGCTCGTGTTATCGAGAACAGTCGGAGAGGCCAGTCGTGTGAGAACCCCACGCAGTTGTCACTTTAGCGCAATGATATCTATCAGGTTTTGGCTATCTTATCGCATTTTTCTTCAGCAACCAGGCGCATCCGGAGAAGCTCTATCCATCTGGGGTTCACCCTTCGAGAAGGTCTTAGCAACGCCAGTAACCGCAGATAAGCAAGCAGCAGATCTTCTTGGGGATATGATATGTGACAACCGACCCCCAGCATGGGGGGCTGGTGTGACACCTCAATTTCTGAGGCCCTTCACCGGCACCCCTCAGTAGGTCTTTTGGCCAAGTCACAGACTCTCCGTGGTCGGAGCCAGAATAGGATAGCATCCTTGACGAGAGAACGAGTCTTTCCTGGGCTGTCTGTCTGTTATCGAGCTTTGCTTGCGGATATATCTGACGAGAGAATGACAAGTTTAGTCACCCATGCTGCATAGGCGGCTCGGACTCTAGCCCCTCATTTTATGTACCATTACATTGACTGCCGCTGCTGCTCGACGGAGTTGGATGCAACGGCTGCAGCCAATGGCCATAGCTTCATGCAGCTGCGTCTAAGAGGAGAAGAGGGGGTACAGAAACAGCTTCAGCGAGGCCAAAGTCAGTCTCATCCGGTGGAAGCCGAACTTCCAAACAACTCCGCAGGACAGGAAAGCATGGAGCAACTGTCCCGTCAACCTTCGGTCACCTCCACGACGTCCAACGTTGCTACGCAAGCTCGTGTGCTTCAAAGGCAAACTGCTCAAGCTTCGACGTGAGCGCCACTAAGCTTGCCCTGTCGACGTGCAATGCACCGCAAATCCCGAGTGAATGCAATCGAATGCGGACCCGGAAATTGTGACGGGCGGCAGCCCTACCAAAGCGTATCAACCTTGTTTCCCTTCCCCGGAGCCGCCCAATGACGACCCCTCGGGTGCAGACGAAGTGCATTTTTTGCTTGCTCGTTGTCGGCAACGGCACAGCTGTCATGCTCATTTGACATCGGACTAAACCATCGAAACCAGCTCGGCATCAAATCAGTTGCAAGCAATCGGTATCCACAACCTCACCGGTCACCCAAGTTGAGCAGCCGCGAAATGATCGCCCGTTGCCGCAGATAAGCCAGGCAAATTGCAATGGCACATGGGCAGCGTTGTTGCGGGCCACGCCGAACCGAAACGCACCGCTGAGTCGCTGACCGACCAAACTAGACCGTTCATTGCCAATGTCGCTTGGCTCGAACCAGTTGGAGAGCAACGTGTTCCGGGAACTCGGCAGGACCTGCTGTTTCCCAGTTCCCAGGAAGCCAAGCAAAGGCCATGGCGCCAACACCGAGCGTGTTGGTGCCCATCACCGCCGGATATTGGGGCGGTCGTCGTGCTGGCGAGGCTCATGGTCAGCATGTCTCACTTGCTTACACGCCTACAGCAGACGGGCACACAGTACACGCCCACGCCGGTCCTCCGTCTCACAAATCGCCTGCGTCACGTACGCCTCAGCAACTGATGTGTCTCGGCCGCTTCTCCAGACATCGTGAGCCGCCCTGCGAAGCCCTGCGTCAAGCTGCGCGCGCGCCTCGGACACGACATTGTCGCACAGCGCCCCAATGGCACGCCAATGAACACATCGTTGTGCCTGACATCTGTGACTTGAGCGCATCGCCACCTACATGTTTCCGATTATCTTACGTACGCCCGCGCTGGACAGTGCCCGACTTGTCTCATCAGCTGAGCGATGATGCACGGCATCCTAACTGCCAGTAACCAGCCGAGTCTCTCCATCATCTCTATGTCGTTATCCGTGAATGCCTGGACAACCAAGTGAGCCCAACTGTCTCCCAGCGCGCAACCCCCTAGTCACTTACACCCCAACGACCAAACACGTCCCTGTCGCACACTCATCATCACTGCTGCCAGCACCCTCACATTTGAACTTTGGATGCCCGTACCCTACGCAGGCGCTAGAAGGCACTAGCCCCCCACCCTTTGTCTCTTGATCCTGTTCCTCCCACGCTGTGCAGGCTGCCTCTCCCGACTCCAAGACACGGCGCTACCGTCGGAAAGCGTGGTGGCTTGCAAACAGGCAGGTCCAAGACCCCAAGCCTGAGCTGACCGTACAGGTAGGTTCTCGTGCTGTTAGAGGTGCAACAGACCGAGATGCTTGGCCTCAACCATTGCCTTTAATTATTTACCCCACGTCAACACCCGGTTGATGCCATAGGTAGCGTTCCTTTTCCTCGTACTGGGGATCCCTGCCCGTTCCGCCCTCTTTCCGTGGTCTTCACCTGATCCTTCACCGAACGCATCGCATCACCTTTTGTTTTTTCCCCCATCCGTAATTTGGCTAGCATCAACAGGAAGCGGCACCGCCCGCAAGGGATGGTTTGATGGGCTCTCGGCGTGTCTTCATGTGTGAGTGTGTGTGCGTGTCAGTCCATGGCCTGGACTCGGTCATACAACCGGGCTTGTTGGCATTGATTGATTGATAATCTTTGGACTTTTGACGGATACTGTGCAGCTCTCAATCAGCTAGCCAGTCGTCCTGCCTGACTGCACCGAGATGCCCAATATCACTTCTCTTATTTTCCCAACAACGTCATTTCGACTTACTCAACTACTCGTCCTGCCCGGTCGCGTAATGCACCGCCCAACGAAGATGACACCGGACAATTACACTGCATACTCACCGGTCAATCCTCCTCACACCCTCAACCAGCTACTGATGCTGCTCGTCTGCCAACTGTCTCCCCTGCCACACCAGTCCCATTCCATACATCGCCGGTTACATGCGCTAACCCATCAAGCAACAGCCCTGTGGTGTGTGAGTGGTCGACTAGCACGACTAACACTACACCCCTCCACTCTTCCCTGTCCAAAGCCTCCCCCTCCCCTGCCTGTCCGTTCCCTCGTCCACTCAGATAATTAAACACACGCTCTGCGTCGCCCATGTACTGTAACCCCCCTACATTTATCCCAGTTACCGCCTTCACGCATCACGTAGCACCAAGGACCTCGGTATATGGGAAGGGGTCCTGGTCTCCAATCCCGCTCTGGTCAAGGCATCACGTTTGGTTATCATCCCATCTGATGGGGGGTCGGAAGGGGAAGGGAGAGAGAGAATGGAGGGGTGTTCCGACGGCTGGTGGGCGCGCGACATGCCAGGCCAAATCAGAACCAGGCCGGGAACAAGGTGCTTGAACGCTGCAGAATCCCGGCACCTTGCTGCACGCACTTGCGAATACATCTCAACCTTTCGGCATCGCGTGTGTGCGCCGAACGCCAAAAGCCATCGCGGAGCCCGCCGAACTGGCTATAAGCTTGCAGAAGGCAAAACGCAGAAATGACCCCGCGCGTATCCCCAATAGGATAGTCACGAACCCAAACGACGGCGGAAAAATAGGGGAAAAAAGTAATGTAGAGTCACAGTGGAGGGATTGCAATTTTTCTCTTTTCTCCTTCGTCCCGGATTCGACGTCACTGCGCCATTTGTATTGTGCTGTATACCAAAAGTTCCATGGGCGTGGTGGATGGATATGCGACGGAAAGCGTTTGCCCTTCCCCTCCCTCCAACACATCCGCTCCACCAGTCTGAGCTGTGTGTTGTGACGAGGTAAGGAGCAGAAGCAAACGCGGCAAAACCCAAATGCATCAACTAGGTACAAAAAAAGAACATGCGAACTCCCACGAAATTCCCAATACCTGTGGGCAACAAATATGCGTGGTTCCCAGACTCCGGTGTCCTGCGCCTATCCTCCTTCTCTGTCCCCATTTCAGACGGAATTATCCTTGTTATAGACAGATGATGATTAAAGAAAACCCTTCCCCTGTTGGAAATGCTGCAAGATTCCCCTTGGTACAAAAAAAAGTGTTGAGTCTCGACATCCGTGTTTGTATGTGTGCGTTCGAGATAATGGTGATGGTGGTGGGGAGCACGGTCCAGAGCCGGGGCCAGACGCGGGCCATGTCGGCTAACCTTGGAAGACTTGAGGACGATATGGGTTGGTTGTCGTCGTCCGGTGCAAAGTGTGGTAGTGATGGTTGGCCCCGTCCTTAGCCCGGCACCGTGTTCGGCGTAGCCGCCCGAATAAAGTTGAATAGTCCGCGACGCCGTCACTCACTTCCCCCTCTCGGTCCATCCCGTCTGGGTATTGTTGCAAATGTCGATCTCGTTTGTCCGTCCTTTTCGCGTGTACACGGGTGTCGTTGTCTCTGTTTGATTTCCACCTCGTTGTGAAAATCGAAATGCTGGATTCCCACTGCTGCGCCAGAACGTCCTTTCCGCAATGCTGTGTCCGCGATCAAAAGCAAAATCCCCAAATAGAAAAAACGCCGTTGTCTGAGATGCAGGCCCTGCACCTCCCCAGAAATGTTGTCTTTTTTCTTTCTTTCTTTTGAACCCCCCTGGTTCCCGTGTTCCTCCTATTGCAAGAATCAGCCACATGGCGAGCAGGCCATGTGCGATCAGCGTGGTCGAGACCCCAGTGTCTCAAGTCTTTCCCACCCCTCTTGGGCTTGCGTTGCCCATTTCTCTCCAAACAGTCCAGTCACCGACCCGTAGTCGGGAAGTCAGAATTGGAGACGGCGCCTGTCTGGTTGAGCAAGTCCGCTTTGGCGCCTCTCGGAACGCTGCGTTAGCGTGATGTAACTTGGTCGAAAAGGCTAGGATTGGGTTGTTCCGTAGCCAAGGTAGCCCAGTGGTTGTGCTGATGGTGGGTGGCTGACCGGTGTGGCAGCCCTCAACCGTGGTTTTCGACAGTCCTGTGGGCTGTGTGACTGGCGCACATCCCTCCTTAATCTGCCCGTTGAAGAAAGACTGGAGAGGGACAGAAATAAGGCGGAAAATCGGCCGAAATGACATCTTTGGATACGCCTGTCCCGAGAGGCCGGAGGATGGAAATGAAAACGGTGGTAGAATGCGAGATGTGATAGAAGCAAATGTGCCGCCGCCCGGATCTGCGCGCGCCCCTAGTACTGTTCCTTCGTCGAGTGGCGCGCTATAGGCCGACGGGTGTGTTGTTGCGCTTGATCATACTCTCCCAGACAATGGGAGCCGAAGGCTTGCATTCGCCTGTGAGGAGACTGTTAGTTGATGCCCTTCAAGTGGAATTAGGAATAACCGCATCATCCGCCACGGAAGGTTGCATCTGTTTGCTTCTGCTGCTACGGGGCAAGGTGACAGCAAAGTTTGGCCGCCAAATTTGCTGCCCACCCCCCATGCCGGTCCCAATTCCAGGTGCTTGGAGATGGGTGGAGAGTGGAGGGTGTCCCTTTCCGTGGCAGCACAAGCCGGACAGACATCCTTGCCCGCATTGATAGGAGGGATGCTGCGTAGGAGCGAGGAATGCAGAGAGACTGGACTCGCTCCGGAGAGGGCAGAATGACAGGAAGAAACATACCACAGACTTCATTTCCCCTATCGACGTAGGTCAGTTTTTGTTCTCAGCGCAAGATAGGGAGAAACAGTTGGCATGATCTGTACGATTTGCATGTAGGGGGGGCGGAAGAGAAAAAGCAATGAGTGACGTACCTGTACTCGCAGTGAGTGACATGTGGAGGACAGCGGCGTTGTGTACGAGCGTAAAGTGGGCACCAGCGAGACACGATCCAGCGGACGTGGTTGCAGCGAAACTCCCTCTGGAGTACAAAGTCAGCCCTCTGAATGTCCTCATCCCGCAAAGTCCGGGCTCGAGGAACACGTACCTGAGTGTAGTTGCACATGTTTCTTCCTCTATGTGCGGTCCTGTGGGACTATGGACGGGGTTTGGCAGGTCTTCGGGTGTAAGTCGGGGTCTAAGTACGAGAAACGGTAGTAGATGTGGGAATCCGCGTGGTACAATTCGGAGGCGAGGTTGATCGGTGATAAGTGAACGACAATGTTGGAAAGAAGTATCGACGCAAGGCTAGGGAAAGATTAGGAACGAAGTCGTCGTGAGGCAAGAAGAGGGCGGGCGGGTTCTGTATTTGAAAGAAGAGTGAGTGTTCGTCGAGGTGTATGGGCTTGGGCGGAACAGAGCGCAGAGGGTGTGTGAGGCGGTTGCTGTTCTGTATATAGCCCAAAGGCTTGGAGACTCAGAGATGGGGTCAATCGTCAGTGGACAGCGCTCAGGGAACCCAAGCAAAAGTGAAATCCCTGGGTGATGCAAGGTTTAGGCCCATATGTACCGCTACGTGGGGTGTATATGTGAAATGTAAACGGCGGGGGGGGGAGGGAGAGAGACCGACAGAAAGACAAGTGGGAAAGACAGACACTAGAGTGAGTCTGAGTCCTAGACCACTAGCCAGACCAGACTGGCGGGCGGGTGGGCAAGCATCATGGCCCCAGAATTATGATTGCCCCTTGTTGCTTGCTTGCCGGCCCCAAAAGATAGAACCTAGTCTGAGTCTGGCTCGTTTGGCCATTGAGAAGACGGGCGGATCGGGCAGAAAACTATGTGTGTGTGTGTGTGTGTGTGCATTCCGTAAAGGGTGCGCGCAGTGTTCAGGCTCTTGCTCGTTCGTAGGTGTGTCCCTCAGGCTCAGGTCCGGGCCGAGGG